TTTCTGTATGTATTGTTTTATGATAACAAAAAATATAATTAATTTGTTATTACAAAATATATTTTTTTTAATCGGATTGTTTTCACCAATAACACCATATTTGTTTTAAATAAGCCTTTCCATAAAAATAAGAGCCTTAAAGCCAATTCACCAAAGCTTAATGAAGACTGTATTTTTATTACCTTTAGTCATGTTTTATAATCGTGGTTTTTGTATTATTCATTTATTCAATGTTTTAATTGCACCGTTTAGAGGAATTAACGCATTTTATAAGATTGATTTTTTTTCTTTGTTTCGTAAGTAAAAGTTAGTTCACAACCATGACCGCCCAGGTCATCGACTCCTTAAAATAACGCAAGCTTTAGGCTTGAGATAATGGTGAACTTCTACGAGTTGTCTATTAGGGAGAGCAGAATGGGGCCAGAACGATTTCCGAGAAAAATTCTGATTCATGAGAAAAAAATGTTTTCAATAGTCAAGACTGTCATAAAAAAAATTACAATATACATTATTTATGAATGTTATCTGAACATTGTGATCATAAAATTATTATGGAATAAAATAATAGATGCAACTGAAAAAAACTTAGTGAAGTGATCTATTTTTTAGCATTGGTAATTGCCAATTTATGATCAACTGAGATGAACTAGAGCTGACCAACTGCATAGAAGTGATCTTCTCTGTCCAGCCTTATATATAGCAGCCTTTTCAAAGATCTCAGCGTGCCGATAGGAAATCTCAAACATGAGGAAAGTTTGATGCCTTGCAGCGTTTGTAAATCACTTGAACCTCAATGTACTAAACTACAACTAGTATTATGCACACTAAAAAATGGTATTAACATGCAAATGGTAATGAGTAATATACTGTTATGAAGGGCAAGCACTGGTGTCAAAAGTTGTGCAAACTCCTGCTGTCAGCTAAAATGCACAGAGAATCTTCCACTTAATAGTGGGTATTATTGCACTGAAGCAACATTGCATCCAGAGAGACAGCTCTCAGAGAAATGTACACACTGTTACCAGCTACCCATAGATTCCATCACAGCTGTGAATGCATGACTCCAGTTTCATGCAAAAAAAAGATATATAGTATATATTTTTTACAGAAGCCATTTTGTAATTTAAAGCATAAATCTGGTCAAAAATCATAATCTCAGGATCTGAAGTATATACCCCATATACCCCATATAACCAGCATTAATTTTATCTTACTCTTATAGCTGTAAGCAAAGTTAAAGTGACACTAAACTCAGGAGTAAAATCTTAAAAATGCATTCAAGTACCCTAATTATTAACAAAAATGTATCTTATTTGTCTATCACTCAGCTGTAGATCCTCAAATCATCTCTGAATTGGTGCTGACGCTGTCCTTCCTTCTGGAGGGTGGCTACTTTACATCACACACAGGGACCATGGAACAAAAGTAGCCATCCTCCAGAAGGAAGGACAGTGTCAGCACCAATTCTACAGCCGATTGATACACAAATAAGATACATTTCTGTTTATAGTTAAAGTATAATGAAACCCTCAGGGTTTTTTTGCATATATCTACTGCTAGCAAGCAGAAGTTATATGCAAAAACATTAAAAAAAAGTTGTCACCAAAAAGGTTAAAACTTACATGTTTCTTCACCGTTGGCTCTCGTCTGAAATTCTGGAGATTCTCCTGGGGTGGTCACAAAGGATCATGGGACAGGCGCATGTGCAGTAGAGATCTTCGGCCGGGAGAAGAGGAGAGACACAGGGTAAGTCTCTGCAAGCAGCCGGGCAGCATGCATCCGCACAGACACCGTGGGATACAGAAGACACCGCAGTCAGCACTGGATCAGAGACCGGCACCAGCGCTAGAGGGACTCCTGAAAACTACTGGACAGAAGATGTGCCACAATCTTCCCTCCAAATCATCCATCTGAATATAGGAAAATATGTCTGCCAAAGTTCTGCTTCCTAAGTCACCTCTTCCCTTTTGGTAGCATGTAGTGTGCAAATCAGTAGAGCCCTGACTAAAGCTGACGATACACCTATAGATTATCTGCAAACTTTCTATGGTCAGATGGAAAAAGGGCAACAGATTCCTCCATCTACACTAAACTGTGTGTATGGAGGAATCTCCCACTGGGCCTAGCTTCAGTATCGTGCTAGTCAGCCCCGCTGGCTCTCAAAACACCTGAACAATCTGATTGGATGCAGGCATTGTTCAGGTATTTTGAGAGCCAGGGTGGCCGACTAGCAAGATACGTAAGCTTGGCCCAGTGGGAGATTCCTCCATACACACAGTTTAGTGTAGATGGAGGAATCTGTTGCACTTTTTCGATCTGACCATAGAAAATCTGCAGATAATCTATAGGTGTATGGCCAGCTTAACTGAGAGTGTCCCTCCTCGCTCTTCCAGTTTAGTGTTGCTTTACAGGGGATTACAGGAAGCTAATATATCAAGGTGTAAATGCTAGCTATATACTTGTATATTGGATGTTTGATTCTTCTTCATCAATATGGATATTGATTTGTTGTATATTAACTAGTCTTCTAGGATTGAAGTCCTCCTGAGGACGCCACTTTGTGGTGAAACATGTTGAGGCACCTAGAGAACAATATCATCTGTTAATCTCCTTGTGATCAACTAGACCACTGCAACAATTACTGTATTGTATTTGGACTACGCACAATATTGTTGTATTAAGTTTGTGTTTACTTTAATAAAATCATATTTTTTATTAATTGTAATAAATATACAATTTTTTTATTAAGTTCATTGTGAGAGCAACATCTTTCTTAAAAGCCCCCCTTTCAAGGTTTTGCATACCTGGTAATGATTTTAACGATCATATGATCTTGGTTATATACTAATTCACTGGGGTGTGAAATATTGCTCTCATTCTTTCTACTGTGCACCGATAATTGTAAACTGAGTTTTAGTGCATTGACACAAAGATTTATTTGCTTGATGTTCGGGTAAAATTAAAGAGAAAATGTAAAGGTTGGTGGTTAGGTTTTAAGCTGATGTGTTATATGTTTACGTTCTTCTTTTTGCAAAATAATATGTATATAGAATACAACCATGAGGAAGGATTCCCAGAGCACTGCGAGTTTTAGAAACATGTAAACATAGAAAAGTGGCATTAAAAAAAGACCAAGTGGGTAAATGGATCTGCCATTTTGCTTTTGTTTTTTTTGCTATTTTTGCCTTTATTTTTTAAAGATTTTCAAAGTATTTTTTGAAGTATAGAGCTATTCGTCCCAAGAATGTTTAAATGTACTAACTGTTGGCTGCATCACTCTGCTGGAAGCCTGTTCCAAGCACCAACTACTCTTTTCTAAATAGAGAACACAGCAGCACCCTTTCTCTGACCAAAACCTTACATGTAGAGGTACAAAGGGCAGGAAAAATAGGTGAATTACTCACTGGTGACTTATTGTTCATAAATGTCAGATTGCGTTATTGAGCTTTGTAACCAACAGGCTTTTTTGTCAACAGGAAGAGAAATTGGCAAACATAAAACGAAGCCAAGAGCTCCACCTGCTGGCTGCATATAAAAATTACAAAAATAGTCATAAGCAATGTTTTTTATTTACCTGACAAACAATAAAAAAAAATATTTACATTTTATTCTGTAGTACAAATCATTATAAAGGAAATATAGACAAAACCACTATGCATTTCCTTTAAGTATGGACAAATGATACTAATTTATGTTAGAAAGAGATATATAAGAATCATTTTTTATCAGCTTCTAGTTGTCATCAGAAAGCTCCCCAAGATCCAACAGGGCTCATCAAGTTACTTTTAGCAACAATTTCTGTGAAATCAAAGCTACAATTTGAACAGAAATATATATATAAATCCCATTGTACTTGTAAGGCAGAAATCTTGGACAGTATAAATATAAATGTTCAGGGGCAGTAGAAAGCCATAGAGAGTATTTTTTCCCCCAAAAACAAAAAATGTTTTCTATTAGAACTTTAGGTAACTGCATGGAATTTATCAACCCAAAACCAATGACCATGCGAATATGTTATTGACTAATCCATTAAAGGAGAACTATGGGGTTAAGGCTTTTCCCCATAGTTCTCCTTAGGGTAACGGGAGGATACAAACAAGCGTCCTCCCGTCACCCTAAGCTCAGTATACCGCAAGCTACAGCTCGTGGTATACTGAGACGCCGCAGCTGAAGCGGATCCCGACAATTATGTCTGGATCCGCCCAGCTGCACGAGTGACACCTGGCTCTGCCTATCTAGAGGCAGAGCCAGCTGTACCCGCCCCCTCAATCGTCCGATCCGCCAGTCAGTGCTGGCGGATCGGAGCGGGGAAGGGGGAATCCAGCCCCTCCCCTGTCATGGCAGAGAGCTGTGACAGGATCGAGAGGTGAGCGAACGCCGGTATGTGTTCGCTCACTTCTCGATCTACTGAGCTGACCTGTGACAGTCTCATTGTCACAGGTCGGCTAGAACTATGAGGTGAGTGAAAAGCACTCACCTCATAGTTCTCCTTTAAATATTATTTTCAACTGCCACAACTTCCAAAAACTGTCACCCAAATAAAAAAAGGAGA